AAAGTGTTGGAAAAATTAATAGTTACAAAGTTACAAAGTTAAGTTTCCAACTTTTACCAAAGTAGACAGCCAAGTACAGCTGTCGCGTATCGCGTGCAAGTAGTGGTTTGTTCCATTTCTATGCGTGCTCGACACGTTCGTGTTACACGAGGAATTATGCGCGCTCTTTCAAACATTCTCCGACTTTGTGTTGCAACTTTCTCACAAGCCGATTTCGAATCGAAACAGAGAATCGTTTGTAACGTTGAAACTACAACTATAAATTAATAAATTCGACCCGTGTTCCCTAGAACAACTTTCTTCTCACGAATTTCGCCGTGAAAGAACCCGTTTTTCTATTTACTCTGTATACTCTGTATCCACGCTATCGAGCATTCTGTGTTTTTTGTCTTTGCGTCGCGATCGTAACAGCCCGTGTATCCAAGTACTTTCTTACTCACTTTTTACAAGTCCCTAAATGTTCCCTTTAGATTTACGAGCAACAAGTTTCAAGGAATATTAAACCTTTTAGGCACTATGCCACACTATAATATATAGTGGCTCACTCAAATAGCTCACTCGCTCACCGTTTCAATCAAACGATCGTTTTCATACGTTTCGTTTCACGCTTTTGCCTCTGCCTTCGCATCGATTTATAACAGTGTTAATAACAATATATACAGAATACAGAATACAGAATACAGAATACAGAATACATGCAGGTATGAGCTGTTGCTTTCCATTTAAATAAATAAACCATATACCATTTGCTCTTAATAAAACCAGATGCTTTTTTTTTAAATGTGTATGTGTATCATATCATATCATATCTTTAAGAAAAATTATTAAAAATTTAACCGTTTCGGTACGAGCGCTGTTACTCTCTGTCCGCCGTGATACACAGCCGCTGTACGAGAGCACATGGTCAGTTCTCTTGTGTATAAAGATCTTCCTTAGCCTTTAATAAGAACTGTGCTTAATCAAACAATGTTTCTTCCAACAAATGTCGTTAGTTTTAATATTAAAAAAAGACATTTATTTATATTGAATTCTGTTAATTAATTAATTGTACAAGTACACACTGGAAAATTATACAAGTACACACACAGGTCACCAGATGGATGCCGGATATATCCGATGCTCGTGCCGAAAGGGTTAATCATCGAAAATTTCATTCCAATGTACTCGCGTAGAGAGAGACAGCATTGTCCGTCACACATTGCAGCGCTGTATCGTTTGCACGTAATTCGCGTTGAACTCTGCCGTAGAGAGAAACCCGGCTGTGCAAAATTCAGCCTGTGCCTGAGAGATTAGAAGAGCAAAAAGACGAAGCTGAACAAGTCCAGACTGAGATAAATACGAGAAAGGAATCACAGCTCTAGTACGAGGATGCAAGTTGAAAGTTTGAAAGGAGAATCGAAAAGGATGATAAAATTCAAACACTTGTCAATAATAAATACTTGTTAAAGATACAGTTACAGATACGTAGTATCAAATATAGATTAAATAATGTTTCATGACGGGAGCAGGATAAAGCAAAGCAAGATAAATACGGGAGATAAAGCGAGGGACAAATTTCCATTAAACGAATGAGAATCGGTAGTGAGGCGAGCAGAGGCATATGGCGTGTGATAAAGAAATGACAGAATAAATATAATACTGGCCATTTGTCAATGACAGAAATAATGAAAATTTCATCAGGTTCGACGATCGAAGAGAAAATGACAGACGTGTCAAACGTAGGAAAAGTATAATGACAAGTTTGTTTCAAAGAAACAGAAATTTTTCTCACACTATGTCTATTTTATGTCTTTTGCTTTGCCTTTTCAACGAAAGAAAAGAAAACTGAGTGAAACGTTATAGCAGTTTTTTTCCCTCCTCTTCTTCTCTCAGAACGAAACTTGGCCATGCAAAGTTTGAAAGGTGATTATTAAAGTGTGAAAAAAATTGTGATAATTTCTTTCTTTCTTTCTTTCTTTCTTTCTCATCGTCAGATACTGTCTACGTTTTTTGATTGCGAGAAAACAGCATGGAATCGACGTGTCGATTACAGACGAAGATCAACGAAATACCTTCGAGCGGGAATGATGCATTTTCTAGCTTCGATCGAACGACCACCACGATATAGTGGAACGACGAACATCTTTCAAACGATCAACGATCAACGATCGCATTTGAATTACATATTCATCGTTGGCGACACGCCCGTTTATCAGTTTAACATGTTTTACGTTGACGTTTGTTACTCGCGTTATGCCTATACGTAAACGATATTATTAAAATATTTTTCATCGCTAATTATTGCTCACATAAAAAAAAAAAAAAAAAAAAAGAAAAAAAACGCAATTACGCGTATCGATGAGAGCGATAGATTCCGTTTCACTCCGTCTCTGAGAGTGGCTCAAGATTTGAAACAGCCGAAAATTTCTTTCACCTATTTGAGAAACGTGCCGCAACTTTTTTTGAATTAGATATATATATACTTGTCTACGTAACACGTACGTAACAGAAAACACGTGGCAGAAATAGGAAATTTCATAATTTTCTCATTGATTTATTTGCAATTTGTTGTTGAGAGAGAGAGAGAGAGAGAG